CAGGTCTTGGCTCTTTTCTGCTCATAACGCTTAGGTCCTATCACCCCTTGTTCGGCACCGAGCCTCTGGTCTCTGACCTGACCATTGCAGCACGGCCTCCTACCTCGCGGGACTCACGGCTCCTGGACCAGAGGCAAGGCCAACGCCACGAGAGGGTGGCACGGTTTGTGTAACTCTGCAGAGTCTGACCCATGTAGAGAAGTCCAAGGACAAAGAAAGGCTTGGAGTCCAAAACCGATGGCAAGTCAGGCTTATCCTATGCAGGGAACAGCATGAGGCTCCACCGCTCGGCCCCCAGTAGGCCCCCCAAAGTGTGCGATCATTCCCAATGCAAGACTAGGACAAAATCAGGAATGCGAAGACGTTGGTTTTCCTGGAAACCATGACTTTAGCTCCACCGGCACTAAAGATCAAAACAATGAAAATAAGAATATTTCCTCCTCGCCATCTAGCTCACTCCATGCTGAACTCTGTCTTCCACCCTCTCCTTCATCCTTGCATTCATCAATGAAATAACTTATTTTTCTATCGACTCCCACCCCTGATGAATGTGCCTTCGAATGGCATTTGTTCCATCTTAAGGAGGAAGAAATTAAAATGCTAAAGAGATGAGCAGCCAGTCCGGCATTACCCAGCGTGCAGACCTGGACTTTTCCAGAGGACCAGGTAGAAGCCTGACGTCTTGGCACATCTGTAGACTAAGACGCACTATCCTCCTTTGGGGATGTTCTCCCACAGGCATCCAATCGAAGAAAGGAAATGGGAGACACTGCGGTTCGTAACTGTGAAGCAGCTTTAAGGAACGCTCACCGCAGCACAGGCTCGTCCTGTCATTTCACGCAGGTGTGGCTGGGGACAGTGTGCGTGTTTAATGGAGGAACAGAGGCTAACATCCGAAATGTGTTTTAGGTGGTACAGCCAGGGTCCCACGGACTGATACATGGGGCTTGTCATCCTCCAGCCAGCACCACTTTCTTGATGTGCGTCGCCAACGGGGACAAGTGGCTTCCAAGCCTGGCACTGCCACTGGGCTCTGCTTCGCTCTGCCCCGAGACAGGGGTGCCTGGAGTAGCTGGGTCACTTGCTCAGCTCCTTAAATTCAGAGGGAGCAGCGTGGGGAAAATGACAGACAGGGACAGAAAAGGCGGTGTATTCAGTTCTGCCAGCTACGACACGAGCCGTGAATGACAGTGACCTTTGAAATCTAGCTGCCGAATGGATGAGGACAGGCTCAGTCCCAGTTTTAAGGTCACACTGTCCTAAATTGCAATCACGGGGTGTACCGACCACAGAGAGGAAGGCTTCTACTGTGAGTGAGCACGTAAAAGGGGCCCTTCTGCCACAGTCATGCAGCAATTTAAAGCGACAGTGTTTACCCGGAGCAAGAACAGGGTAATGCAGGGGGTTCGGGTAGATTATGGAGACATCTCTGAGCACCTGTGGACTCACCGGAAGCTTAGCTATCTCTTGGCTAACGGTCTCTGGCTTTCTAGCCACTGCTCAGAAATAGGGATTAATGCTGAGTTACATGCATAAAAAATATGTAATTAATATAAATAATGGAATCGAGAGTCTGGAAAAATCTTCAAAACACAGCTCATTTCTTCAACTAAAAATAAATAATATAGATACTTTATTTATTTAGAGATGTTAGCAGTAGCGTCACGGTCACATGTAAATGGCAGCGAGGCTACACATCACCATAATAGCTCAGGCTGGAAAATGAGATGCTGAGTCTGAGTTTTCTAGACACTGGAAATTATAATTTAAAAAGCAAGCCTCTTAAAATGGATTTTAATAGTTTTGAATAAAAGTATATCTTAGTCCACCCTCCTTAAAGAGTCTATCAAACGTAGTTTAACGTTGTTTTGAACATTGCATTATTGAAATAGCATCAGAATGAATACCGAGCTGTCCTGGGTCATGGAAGATGGTGCTTTTCTTCCTTATCTGGGTCTGTCTTCCAGGTCAGGACCGTACTGAACCTGCAGCTTTCCGGGGGGTGCTCAGTGCACTGGGGTCTGCAAGCCACACACAGGAGGCCAGGCAAATGTTGACCAATGTGGAAAACCCACTTTTGCAAGCACGTAAGTATTCGTCCATTTTACGGTCATGTTGACCCGAGTACGTGCTGCCACTCGACTTAGAATGGACAAAACATGCTATGGACAAGAGGGAGGTGTCATATCCTGGGAGTAGGTGATGACTTTTCCTTCTGAATAAAGAAAAGGGCGCTCAGGTTGCAAACTGCCCCTCTCAGAGGCTGGGTGGCACAGGAGGCCAAGGGGACGGTGCAGGAACGGGGCTGCTTTGTGGGGACAGACGCCGCGCTGGCCTAAGGCGGCCTGAGTGACTGCATGGCAACCCCTGCCAGCAGCGTCCTGAGACACTTAATTTTTTTTTATTTGTGCCACCAAAAAATGTATTGAAAAGTGTGCTAGCTCAGAGTCTGAGAACAACGAGGCAGCAACACTCCGCTTTGTCTTCTGTGGGGTGGGACACCAGGAATTTACCAGAACTGTGAGCCAAGTCAGTCTGAGCTCTGAGTGAAGCAAAGAGGCACTCGCTCCTTCTCAAATGTGCTTTTCTGCCAGGCTGTGAAAAATGCTTAAACGCATACTTATTGACTTCTATGCTCCTTATTGTATTTTAGAAAGATGAGACTGCCTGACAGCGCTTATTAGATAAGTGAGATTTTTGGAAAACCGTCTTCAGCAAATGATTTCAGGTTCTGCCTTGCACAAGAAGCTTGGATGTACCAAATTTTCATAAAGTAAAACTCTTAGAAAGTAATACATCTCTTTAGGGAAAACTTTAAATGCACTGAAGAGACCGATTTAGAATTTTACTGAGCATTACGAATAAAGTAAATGGAAAATACTGCATTATTTCAATTTCAGCTTTCTACGGAATTTTGTTTCTAGATTGGCCATAAAATGACCTGTTTAACTATGAACTGACCTCAGAGGGACTGCCCCCTGACTGGAGGGATCAGTGTGGAACACGGCCCCTCTCGGCACCGAGGCTTTGACGGGCCACGTGACTGTGACTGTGTCGTCTCCTGCGAGGGCCCGCCTGCTGACGCCCGTGGGGGAGACGCGGGCCTGTGACCACTTTCCAGCACACACGTCCGCCAGTTTGAAATGAGCTCTTATTTGGGGCAAATCTTAGTTGTTTTATTAAGAAGCCAGTGTCCTGCTGATAACTGCAGAGGATTAAAGAGGCTCTGCCTTGGTCGTCTCAGTCATCTTGACATCTGCCTCCATGTCCATAAATATTTCCTCTGATTGCCCCGAAAGACAGTGAGGCTGCTTTGTAGAAAGTCTGGGCCTGACTGTTTTCCGGGCGAGATCCTGACTCCACGTCTTAGTCACGTCATCATTCCTGTTCCGCCCCCGCCCCTCCCCGAATCACACAACTCTAGAACAAACACCTTTCACACCACACCTCCTGGGGGCATGAAAACCAAGGGGTCATCGGGGCCACTTTGTCCCACGAATTCCCCATCAGATTCTGGTGGACACTGTTCCTATCCTCTGGTCCACTGCCCCCCTGATTTCTCAGAGGACACTAGAACTGTCTCCCCAAGACAGTTCTCTGCTCACCTGAGTGTGTCCGCTGCTCCAAAGTCAGCACAGCCACTGGACAGACACACGGGACTTTGAACTCACACGCAGGGCACTCTGCTGGAAGGATGGCCATGTCTGCTGCCTGCCCATCGTGAGGCCAGTCCGTGGGATCCTGAAGCATTCAGTCTAGAACATTCCTGCCAAGACCGGCTCCTCGTTTATACTCCTCACTCAGGGCACCTTGCTGGTTCACGCTCACCTCCCACTACGGGACCCCGGGGCCCATCCTGGGCCACACGCGTCGCCCCCGGGCCTGTCCTGGTGCATGTGTTGCCCCCAGGGCCCGTCCTGGGTCACATGCATTGCCCCCAGGCCCATCCTGGCACAACGGTGCCACCCAGGGTCTGGTCCTGGCATACATGCTGCCCCCAGCGGACGCCCCTCCCTCAGGACCACAGGGCAGCATCTGTCCACTGGCCGGTGACAGAAGGAAAGTCCAGGGAAGACGTTCTCCCTTGCATTTTGCATCTGACAGGGGGTGGGGGGCAAAACCCACTCCAATTTTTGTGCCTCGCCTTTCACATTAAAAACAACAAAGTTTGAAGGGCGTTAAGGTTTTGTGTATTCTTTGCAGTCAGGAAAGCCTGGAAACTAAGCACCACGCTCGATCCTGACTCAGACTGCTTCCTCTTCTGGGGTGTGCACCCCTGAGACCAGCGGCAAGCCACGGAGGCTCTCGGGGAATTCTCCAGCATCCGCTGCTTCTGGGACTTACACATTCCTCACTCTGTGCCCGCCGGGCCCTGGGGTCACCGAACTTCACGAACCCGGTCACATCCCTGGGGCACACAGAGCAGGCCTGCGCTGACGGCAGTGGGGCCTGGACAGGGGGAGGACACTGTGGAGTCTAGTGTGGGAGAGGGTCTGCTGGTGACAGGCCACCATCGCAGGAGCCACGGCGTGGACGGGGCCACAGAGTCCAGGTGACTCCTTCTTACGGTTTTGTGGCTCTGAGACAGGACGGGGTTTTATATGGTAAAGAACAGCCCTGCTGTAAGGAAGGGGACATGGTGTCTGAAGGCTAACAGCAGTGACAGGACAGGCTGGGAACGCAGGCCGGGCCACACGTAATGGAGGTGTAGGGAGGTCTGAGTGAGCCCCACCTAAGGCCGCTGCCTGGTGGCTCACCAGCCGGTGGCTTTACCAGTGCCTCAAGCACCTCCACCTACAGGCAGCTGCCATGGGGACGGGGCTCAGTTAGCGGGTCACTGAGAGTTAGTTCTCAAGCAGGGGCTTTCTAGTGTCCTCGGCTAAGATTCCTAATAGTGTCCTGTGTACACCCTTCAATGGCTCCCTCTGTGGTTTCTGTAAAGGAGTACGTACATATCATCTGCATAGAAGGAAACTTTTCTTGATATATTAAAGCATAAATTGTAACCAGCTATGATTTTTATTTATTTCAGCTAATAAATTTAAAAATTCTCAGATTAATTTGACAGAATCTGTTCATCTGGGGCTTCTGTGGTCATTTTCTGTGTTTTCTGTGCTTCAGTACCAGGCGACTGCAAATCCCAATGCACTTTCAAAACAAAGCATCGTAACCTTTTTCACAAATCACACTCTACGTGACTTGTTGGCGTCCGCAGAAATGCTTACAAACGTTTCAGACTTCTCATATCACACTCCTGACGAGGGTAGAAACAGTCACTGTAGCAGGACAGCAGTCTGGCTCACTCTTAAGTGTACTCTTCCTATTATTTTATTGTAGCAACTCTTGATTTTTTCGTATAAAGAGAAATCAAATGGGAAAATAGCTACAGTCTTGGCTTAAGAAGTACGCCGAGATCTGGTGACTGGAACCGTATGTACAGGATACAAATGTATTTATACTTTATATGTACACAGTTAATGGCTACCTATTATAAATAGCAGGTTTAACTTAGATTCTACAAAAATAATCATTTTGGATGGGTGCATGCAAACCAGTACGCATAAACTTATAAAACACAGCTCTATGCTTTTTATTTGCTTTTAAATATAAATGTTGCTATTTAGCCGTCAGCTAAATGATTTCAATGCAAATCCCAAAGTCCCCAATTAAAAGTATAAAATCTGCTTCTATCCACAGCGGCACACTGCTTCAAGTATTTTTCACCTATTCGTAAAGTCTAGATAATTTTGTCGCATGTGAATTATAGGTACAGAGCCCATTTCCTCAGCTATTAGTCCTTCAGAGCGAAAGCTTCCTTTGTTCCATTTTTCTGTTTTGTATCATTTTTAACATTACAGAAAGTAGATATTTGATAAGACATCACCTTGGCGTTTACAGTCTCATAAACGAGCGACGCGGGGCTCCTCCCTCGAGCCCGGCCTGGCGCTCTGGGGCAAAGCCCAGCACTCAATGGCTTGCGGGGCCATCGGGGTGGGCGGAGGACGCCGGGGGCACGAAGGGCTCATCCTGCTTCTGATCCTCTTTCATGCCGGCTGCTTGGTCCGTGATGGAACAGAAGGACAGCTGGTCGTGCTCCACGATGTGCACTCGGTCCTCGTCCTTCTCTTTCTTCACGTAGAACATTTTTCGGAATTTTTTCAGCTCGTGGAGTTCACAGAAGGTTTCCAGAACGACCAACATGGCAACAAGGCCGAGAAGCAGGTAACCTGTGTGAGAGAAACAACAGCGTCTCAGGGGCACGTGACACGAGGCGTGACACGAAAGGACTGCTGACGATAAACTCGTGGCCGCTTTTCTGACTTCTCGGAGTGCTCTGAAGGCCACGGCTCAAAGAGGGACGACCCAGAGGAACACGAAGAGTGACCTAACCTTCTACAAAACTGGGTCGCTCAAAATCACATGGTGCAATTTTTGAGGGGGAATAAAAAGTCGGGGCCGATGCGGCATCGTCACAGAGCGACACACTGCACTCGCCCGGGGGTGGCCTTTGAGAAGTCTCTCCGCCACCTGTTTGTGTCAGAGGCTCTCTAAAAGCCAGCGACAGAAGAGCTTTTTATTTAGCACGAGTGCTTACGACCAAGCCTGACACCTTGCGAAGGCCTCAGCACTCCGATTATTCCAGAACGGGGAGAGCAGCATGGGAGTCACAGCTGAAGCTAGAGGAGAGTCCTGAGAACTGAAGTCGATGTTAAAAAGCTCCCTGTGCGTGGCTCGTCACTCCGCTACCAAGACCCGGCATCAAACTAAGCTTCCCATTATGTGAGGTCATTTTTGGGGGAGGCACATGGACCATTCGCTGAATAACTCTACCAGCTTCTCACTCTGAAATGAGAGACCATCTGTGGCTTCGGGTAAAGTGCTATTCCCTGGAATCTGGGATGGGAAATGGGTGGTTTTAAGTCAGTTCCAACGTGTTTAAAGTCAGTTTTAAGAAAAAAAAAAATCATGCTGGAAAGGAACAGAAAAGTGAAAGTAAAAACTCTAAGAATAAAACAATCTAAATTTCGTGTTCCATTGGTAAAATGTTTCAGGAAGATTTTCAGAAAATAAATGAAGTAGGAGGGCTAGAACCGGCAGCATAATAGGAATAGGAGGCGGATTACCTTAAGAATGCGAAGTAACACAGGTCTAGTACCTTTAGGATTTGGCTATTCGGTGTTGATAATAACAGTACGTTTTAGAAACAGCAATGACGTTGCTAGTCACACTCACTGCAAATCTCCTCTTTTCCCTTTATCTACTATTTAGTCAAACTCTTAAATGCTGACAAAAGTAACCATGGGGTTTCAGGCAGAAGCTGCGTGGTTTTATCTGATCCAGAAATATATCTTTGGAAATTCAGTTTGTTCCACCCAGCACATAACCATGTAGATTGCCTAAAAAATCCACGATTCACATTGGAACAAGTCTGAAAATGTTCCGCAGGGATTTACTGACATGTGAGACACTGAGGAGGTTTAACTATTGAGTAAAATTTATGAGAAGACCTTTAACATAAGAAAACAACAGAGCAAACAAACCTAATTAAAGAAACATTCAACTTTGCTCTGTTATGAAAAAATTAAAATGAGGAGGTAACATTTTACCTAACAAATGAAAAGAAAGTCAAAATAACCTTCGTCTGTGCTTTGAAATGTGCAACAGAACACCTGTAATGCCACCGGCCCAAACCACGCTGAAACTGTCACCTGCAGGTGATTCTGGTGAAGTATAAACTCAAGATGCCACTTGGAAAGCACTGAGTCACAAAAAGGCATATTCCCTCTGGGCCAACAATCCCACTTCTTGGAAAGATATCAAAGTAGAAAAAGTGCAAACATAAAAAATATTTACTGCAGTTATTCATAATGCCCCCGAGCTGGATGTAATCTACATATGCAACAGTACAGGCAGGGTTAGGTCACGGCATAGCCACCTGGTAAAGTGTTATGTGGACATTAAAAATAATTATGGTAAGTCGAAATATGAAACCATTCCCGTGACCATCTGGTAGCTTGTTCACTGAACTTGCGTGGCAGCAAAGCATCGGTTTATGAGTGAAGTCGCTGTCTTGGGTGAGCCGTGGTTTCACGGAAATGCGAAAATGCTGTCCTCGAGTTTGCACTACAAGCCAAGGCCAGGACAGAGCCCTGACTTCCTTGGTATGTGCTGTGATTTCCTGGAAGACACGACCTGAATCTTAAAAAACTCTTGAGAAGGCAGAAATGAAAACTGTGTACGTTGTGATATGACTCTATGCATCTTGAAAAGCGAGAAAAAGGATGCACAAAAATAGTTACTTGAAAATAGAATTCTACATTTTCCATGATATACTGAATTTTAAAAAAATGTTTAAAAATTATAAATCGCTGGCCATCTGCATTTTAATGCCTATTTTCCACATATAAAATTCTGAAAATGGTTAATATATCCTGACTTTTTCAAGTTAGAGATGGACAAATAAGACAAGCAATTGTTTTAAGAATTTTCTGGTAAAGAATGTGACTGATTTTAATAGGCTACAATCCCAGCCCTAGTTTTCTTGAGCTTAAAATATTTAATTAAGCAGAGCAACTTTTCTTTTTAAGTTAAAAATTGGTTATCAAGTATGTCCTCTGCGGTACATTTTAACACTGTAATTTACAATGCTTATTACAATATTAGTAAGAAATTGGTCAGTACTTTTAAGGTACCTGGGAAAAATAACTCAGTAAAAATAAGGTTTTGAAGGGGATCGTGATGAAATGAAATCGTTACAGGAAGGTGGCAAAACTGGAAATTTATCAATGAAAAAGCAACGGGGTCTTCTACGAATGACTTCTAGAAGGCAAGGCCGAGCTGGGGACCACGAGAGAGCAGGGTGGCGGCATCCGGTACTCACATGTGATCCCAATCTTGTAGAGCTCTCGGAATTTCTGATTGTAGCCTTCTCCAGGAACATAGTCCCCCAGGCCGATGGTGCTCAGGGAAATAAAACAAAAATAAAAGGATTCCAGAAAGTTCCAGTCGTCCTCCAGGACGGAGAACACAGCCGCCGGGATGAAAAAGAAGCAGGACACGGTGACGAACCCCAGGAGCATGGCGTGGACGATGGCCACCAGCTGCTTAGAGAAGCCCCAGCGGATGTGGAAGTAGAGGACAGGCCTGCGGGTGACGTGGATGGTGACGCGCTGGACCACAGCTGTCAGGAAAAGGAGGGTGAAAGGGATGCCGATGACCGAGTAGACGATGCAGAAGGCCTTGCCGCCGTCCGACAAGGGCACAGTGTGGCCATAGCCTGTGAGGAGGCGGGGCGGAGGGGGAGAAAACACGCTCGTAAACACCTGTACCTGCCGCCCAGCCCCGCTCCCCGCGCGACCCACGGGGGCCAGACTCCAGGTCTGAGACCTCGGTGGCTCAGCGTTACACCTGTACCTGCCGCCCAGCCCCGCTCCCCGCGACCCACGGGGCCAGACCTCGGTGGCTCAGCGTGACTGTCACCGCAGTAAATCCCACTGCAGACGCCACACGTTTGGGAAGCCACCACTCCGTGTGAAATCTCACCGGCACATCCCAGCCTGGTTTTGAGTTCACCGTCAGGCTGTGCTCAGGAGCTAAAGGCCCACAGTCTGACGCCACCAGGGAAAACTCGGCACAGGACACCCCTCCCCCAAGGGCCCTCGTGAGCATCCAAGTGCCAGCCTACACCCACGAGATGCTCTGATGGGGCGACTGCCACACGAAGGTGTGGACTAGGCCAGGCTGCTCAGTACGGTGTGGTGGGGGGTGGCCCGGGGGGAGGGTGGAGACCGGGGAGCAGAGACAGCCACAGGGGGCAGAGCGGTGGACACCGACAAGCACCATCTCACAGGGCTGTGCTCAATTATCCGGTTAACTGGCACATTTAGACAGTGTAACATTTTTCCCCTTTGTCATTTCCGTAGGTTCCAAGATGCCATCAATTCCACAAAACACACACATTTTCCCACTAGGTTTGAGTCACTCCCAAATCAAGCCAGTCAAAGGACGCTTCATCCAACACACGCCAGCCAGAGAGAGAACCCCGCCTGGCACTTCACTTCATCCTGAAAGGCCAACGTGTCTGAACAAGTCAGTTCAGGAAGAAGCCAACTAAATGCATTTGTGTGTGTGTGTGTGTCTCTGTGTGTGTGTGTGTGTGTGTGTGTGTGTGTGTGTGTACCCAGATTCTGAAAAACCCTCGCATCTGTGATTATAGTGGAAAAGTGGTTTCAAAATCGGATTTCTAAAATATATCCTGCTAAAAAAGAAATAACTCTGAAAAACCTTCAGCTTCAGATCCCCAAATTCTCTGCTTTATACTAACTCGAGGGGTAGGGCCTGGGGGCACAGGTCATTAAACGGCTCCTGTGCGCAGTGTCAACACGACGGCCAGTCAAGGTTGTCAATCTGTGTCCCAGAAGGCATGGGTCATGGCTGAGCTACAGGGAGGCCACTGAAATCACTCGCAGCTTGTACATCTAAACACACGCGCATTCCTCCGTGGAGAGACTGACAGACTGCAGAGCTTACGCTCTCACAGAGGTTAAGAACCGCTGTTCTGAGCAGCTATTTCAGGATCCGTCTGGTCTTCGCACACCCAGCTGCTCCTGGAATGCTGCTGCGAGTTCCAGGCGTGGCTGTCGAGGGCAAAGGCACGCTGGAGGGTCCAGAGACGGACGGGAGGGGTGGGGGAAGCAGGCCGAACAGGAAGCGGGAGAAAGCCTCACGTTTCCTGACGGAGGAATGAGGCAGCTCTGTGACGAAGGCGTCCCACAGCACAGCAGACCAACCAGAGTTACTGCGACTTAGGCCAGCACTGAGGAAGGATGTGCAATGGTCAGAGAGTTCTAAAAACAGAATCTGAAGACAGAAGGTGATTTAACCACACCAAAGGCGACGGGAAAGCGATTCGTAAATGGGCCACAGGCCTGTGGCTAGAGGTGCTGGGAGACGACGGTGCTTAAGCAGAGGCTGCAAAGGACATGTGTGACTTTGGCAGGAATTCTGCCAAGAAAATAAGAGTAGCTCAAGCAGTGGGACTGGGTAAAGAGCCTTTCAATCCATGACTTTATTGTTTTTTTTTTTATAGCATTTGTCTAAATAATCTTTATAAGAATATATAGAGTATAACCCGCCTCTTCTGTACCATCCGTGGCGATAAACGACATGATTTTGGTTTTAGTAAGGAACAAAAGTAAATAAATTTCTGGTTTTAAAATATTTTAGGATCTAATCTTTACTCTCAAATGACGACAGCTCTTTTTATTAAGATGTTAACTAAATCTCCATTAACTACAATGTGCTCTCCAAGCAACAGAGGTAATCATTACAAGACTCGAAATGTCTTTCTGCAGTAATGTGTTTTTATGCCAGTAACAAGTTCCCACCAGGAGATTAAAAACCACCACCGTGTAGGTGTTCGCTGAAAGCCATTCCTTCTCCTGATGTGTACTTAAAAAGTTTTGTTAATGGAAAGTAAACGTAAGATCTGCATCTCATTTGTGTTCCCCACACCCTCAGTGCAGACCCCGACGTGGGGAAAACTGAGCTCCGCACAGCGAGGCAGATCGCTCAACGCTCAGACGGAAATCGTCAGTCCTACGGAATTTTAACAAAGGGGTGAATAATTAACTCAAGTTTGGTCAAATGAACCCGCAGGTTCATCTGAAGCAAAGCTTATATTTTAAGATCTTACAATCATATTAAAATCCATTACAAACCAAGAATTTGGCAAAAGGTTAATAAACCTTACCTATTTGTTGTTCTTTAAACTTTTATAAGGCTATTCATATAATTTCAGGACTCGAAAGATTGAACACAACAAACTCTACTGAAATGAATGGACTTCAACCGTGCAGAGTCCTGGGCTGACACCACCACATACACCCACTCTTGTGTCCTAGCCTCCCGGTCCAGTTGTGGGTTTCCTGTGATGACTCTGCCTCCGCAGAGCACGTAGGAGAGTGCATCCTGGGAGGTCGTCCTCAGAGCTGTCTTCGAAGACATGTGGCTTCTCATTAACGACAATGGCCCTGACACTGCCCGTTACCTTCCAGTATGGGGCTGTGGCCTGCTGGCTATGGGGCTTCTGGCTTTCCTGGCAGCTAAGTCCAGAACGAGGTCCGAGGCAGAAACCTTTGTGGGCAGTTCCTGGGGGCACTGCACCAAGTCACTGACATGCGACATCTTCCTACGGACTAGGTGCTTTTCTGAGAGAGGAGCAGCTTCCTGCCACCTCCTGCTGGGACCCTGCACTATGATCAATTCTCATTTACTTGCTTTAGTATGACATGATAGATACGACACATACATTTTACATTCAGGTAGCTCGATAAAGGTTTTTTTTTTTTAAAGCTACAAAAGAAGAATGTCAGCCTCTGAAATCGACCCCGATAGAGAGGCTGAAGCTGCAATGTGTCCTGGTCTGCAGAACAGCCTTTAAGATGCATCCTGGACTTCACCCTACTCACTCTCCCACTCGGCTGGGAGGCCCCCGACGGCGACGTCATGTCGGGGACGTCACGTCCTCCTCTACTGCGACTCCCTCCAGGGCCCCGGCCACAGTGCCCTCCAACCCATGGGGCTGTAAGAGACCTCAGAATCGGGGGGCCAGAAGCTCACTGTAAGACAGTGAATAGGCTTCAGGTCGAGTTGATTTTTTCTACCACTCCGATCTTATCTTTTTTCTTGAAATGAGCTTTTTCTCAGTTTAATAAACAGTTCACTCCCTGATCGCTTGCACACAACAGGCCTTCGTAATTCCCTTTTCTTACGGCAAAACTTTTCAAAGACCCACATAGGGATAAACTCTGCTCACCCTGCCGTCCAGCTCATCGACACGAGGCGAACGTCTGGCTTCTGCTCCTCTGTATATAAAAGGATGTTTCTTTGCCAGGGAGAGAAGACTCACTGGGCTCTGCACTCGACGGAGCAGAGGTACTGGCAAAGGTTGAAAGTGGGCGCGTGTGGTGCGGGTGACGAAGGGGACACAGGTGGGAAGAGGTAACAGATGTTGAGAAGTCAGTGGACGTGCACGTGGTTTCTGCTTTTCCTGGCGTCACCTTCCGCTGCCCCAGTCACTCAAGACTTTGCTAAACACTTCTGGTTTCTGCTCAGTTGCGGATGGCGTCTTCGATGGTTAACACCTCGAGAGAGAGGCAATGGGATTCTGAGTTGGGACACTGCCCTGGTGCTGCACCGTACAGCAGCCATTCTGCGAGACGGGCCAATCGACTCTGCATTTAAGAAGCAGAAGACCTCGGCACATGGCACGAGCGTCACAGATGAGAGGACCCCACGCTTTTTGCAATGGGAGTTTCAACGGACATGGCACGTGATAGAACAATTAGAAACGATAACTCTGGCAGGAGGCACCTGCCATGCCCCCATCGTCCGACGAGGCTCCGGACGGCGGCTGCTCGCCACGTCTGTCTGTCTGTGTTTACAGGACTGTGAATCTCCCTGACAAGATTCAAATTCTGGAGTGATTACTACTTTACAAATGGGAATACCGAGTTTCTGATCATAAAAATAATTAGAGCTATCACCTTTCCACTGTGCCACCCGGATGCGTCATGTGATGCAAAGGCCAGGTGCTGACTCGGAAGTCACCTCAAGTCCCAGCTTTACTTCCCAGGAGCTCGTGGGGACCGGCCTGGGAGCCGGCCCAACCAAGCCTGAGGGCTTGTTCAAGTGTCCCAACCCAGAAGGACCCAGTGTCCTGCAGGCAGGAGGGGGCAGACTCACTTGAGAGCGCTTTGGATGAGCTGGGGGCCGGGGCCCACAAAACCTTGAGAACACTCGAACCCCGAGACTGGACGCGACCCGCACCTCTGCTCCCTGCGGCTCTGGCTTCCCCCGCACGGACTGAGCGACCAGGGGGCGCCCAGCAGGCATGGCCGGGCACGGGAGGTGTGCTCCCCGGCTCCTCGCCCTCTCTCTCACGTCGGCTTTGAGGTAAGTGTGCAAGTCCCCGTTTCACAGAAAGAGACACGACGCGATGAAATCGTTTCAAGTTCTAACAGTGAGCACCGCACAGGGAGGTGGGTCTGAACCTCGTGTTTACCAGTCTTTCCAGTCTGGCCCCAGGGGCTATGGGGAGAAGGGACAAGGGACAACTGGAGGAGTCCCCGGGCGTGTCTACAGTAAGGACTCTGAGACAGCTCAGACCCTCGGACCCTGGGGCCTGCGACAGGGGACTGGACAACTGGACGTGGGCTTGGCTAGGCCACGCCCAGAGCTTCTGGAAGCTCGGCCCAGCCCTGGTGACACGCTAGC